ATCTAACACACCATCAAATCGCCGTAACTTGGACAACTTGGACTCGACGCGATGGCGGTATTTCACAATAAGTTTTACTCGATCATCGATTCAAATACAGCCTTCAGGAGAGTGATGCCCTTTTATGCTTCAAATGATGTTTATTCTCTCTCAAAGGAAATACTAGATAAACCTTTCAAAGTCACTTCCGATCCGAGCTAAACCAGAAACAACATCAATCCTAAGAAAATATGGTTCTAACTACCGGGCATTTTGTCTATTCGAGACGGTGCGTGGTAACCCGATCAGTCGCGTACAATAGCGTATTTCTATGTGTCGACAACCGAGCGATATCAGAGTATGCAGAAGGTCGGCGAATATGTTTACTGAAAAACCAAGTTAATTTTTAGAATCGCGTGACATTTCTAGCAAAGATCTGATATTCCTCAAAAGTTTGAAGGAACCGTTCAGTGGAAATTCTGAGAAAATTTCTGACAGCCAAGCATTTAATCTATTTTGAGATAGTGCTCGGGGCATTTAGTCACAGCGCTTTGTAAAACGACGCTCACGCTGTCAATCGTCCATGTTGACACCGATTGTTTGTAAAGAGTAGAAATTACAATTGCTACCGCAAAACATCAGTCGTTAGCGCTTAGTATCGAATTGTCAGTGATTCTAACTTGAACCAGTCTCCCGCTTGTTTAGCTTGTGAGTAGTAACGTCGAACATCGTTATGATTGCTGTATTTTAAAAATATCACAAGCCATAAAGGTTTTAAACTATTGGTTGACACAAAAACCTATAACTGATATTTAGCGCTATCGATCTGCCTCAGAACACTAGCGATTTATAATAAGGGTTTCTAGTTGGAGTCTTAGAACGGCGTGTGGTGCAACAACACAAGCGATTGAGGTTCAGCACTTACGTTGACCATTTCTGAACGGAAACTAAATTGATTTACGAGTAAGATTTGTTGCTAGCATTAACGATTGAGTTTCATCACAAGCGATTGATAATTTTGTCACAATCCCTATAGAATAACGGCGTGATACGTAACTAAGGGCCTGTTTACATGGAGTTGGGGGACCCCGGGTAGGTGAGGTAACCCGCCTGTCCATATAATTTCCTATTTTATTTTGATCACGTTTACGTGATACGTGGGGTGACCCGCCTAGGGTAACCCTGTCAGCCGGGGTAACAATTTGCTATGAAAACGTGTCAAAGCGGGGTAACCCGCCTAGCCGGGGTTGCGTTCATGGCAAAAAGCTCAAAAGCGAAACGTGTGTTTTAAAACTTTGTACATTTCCTAGCCGTCTCATGGCAGAAATCACCAAAAACCGCAACGGACACACAAGGAGTGTAAAATGTTCACATTTCGGAATATTTAGCGTTGTAAATTGGTTTCCCAAACTATCCTGTATAACGTATTAAGCCAACGGTTTCTCGCGAAACCAAACACCGCGTAACACAACGCGTGACGCTTTCATGAATAAATACATATGTGTCCGAGAATTAATCTTTCGTCTTTTTCGAGATGTGAGCTTGGGACGCTTCTGCTCAGACTCCTTAATTGCATGCGCCACAACACCCCAGCACCCCGGGGTTGTAAGATTGCATGTAAACGCGTTTTATTTTTCGACCGCGGCTAGGCGGGTTACTTTACCTACCTGGGGTCCCCCACCTCCATGTAAACAGGCCCTTACAGTATGTAGATTACCGACTAGAAGAAATTAGTTAACGGCGTAAAATTTAACTGTATGTATTTATTCTTACTGAAAGAAATTACACCGTTAGTTAACTGCGTAAAATCTTTCAGTAGGCGTAGCTACACACTTAAATAAATTATGCCGTTAGTTAACGAAATAAAATCTTATAGCAGGTGTAGCTACAGACTTAAAGAAATTATGCCGTTGGTTAACGGCGTAAAATTTTACTATATTTATTCACAGCGATTGAGCCAAATTACGGTTGTGGTTTCTGGCGTAAAATCTTTCTTATGTTTCATCATTACTCAGAAGACTTTATCCTTTGCGTAAAATCTTTCCTATGTTTCATCATTACTCAGAAGACTTTATCCTTTGCATGCATTCCTTACTGCTTTTTTCATTTCGCTGAAGAATTTAACTCTTGTACGGGTATCCAATATCTTCGTCAACTGCAACTGTAATATCCGTTGCCTTGTCAGCTTTTGTGTGGCCAATTTACCGGATCAAATCCTTTGTTTGTTCTACATTAGTGGAGGGGTATAGGGGAGCGTGCCCCCGTGAACAGGGGGCTGGAGGGGGCAGAACCTTGACGCCATGTTGCATGACGTCATGGTATAGACAAAACTGTCTATGGCACGAACTGACAATAAACCTTGCAGGGGTCTTAAGGTTTGAGGCCTGTTGTTTCCTTCCAAAATGTAAAGGGAATAATTTTTTTTATTGGAGTTATTTTACGATCAACATTTGACCAAATGTGGATCTTTATGTGAATATAACAGCGCGTCTTACTTGGTACGCTCCAGTAGTAGATTATCGAAACCGAGGATAAGGCGTAGGCATGGGTTCCACGAGTATTGTGGTTACAATCCCCTAGAGACAAAGGAATAAGGGGTATTAACTTCATAGCGGAACTCTCGTTCGATCATCGATTCGAATGTGGCGTCAAGGTGATCTTTGCATTCCTATTTTTCCGGTAGTTTTTATTCTCCCTCGAAGAAAATACTAGATGCATATCTCCGATTTGAACTTAATCTGGGATTATAATCTTTTCTAAGAAAATATCGAATTCTCTGTTTAATTCTCACGAGAGAGAAAGAGAGTTTTCGCTGTGAGCATGCGCACTGAGTATTTCCAGTTTCACAATTCTAGCCGCCAAATCGCTGCTACTCTGCTCTACTCTAAAGTAATTGATAAGAAGAGGAGCGCGTTGTTGTAAAAGGCAACGTAGGCGTTTTGGTCACGTACTGTTGAGGATGGTGAGAGATTATTACACTTCAATGGATAGACAATTTCCGCTGCGATGAGTTTCAAGAAATGTCACTGCTTTCTATTTTTGTGAAGACACATTTGTAGAATATGGGGCAGTCTTTCATATCACGGGATCTGAAATAGTTGATAATTAAATGTGGTGTTGCTTCGGTGGGGGTTGTTACGAAATAAGTTGGTTTTATCAAATGAATTGATAATGTAAATTGGCCTCCTAAAAGGGTTGCTAAAGCTGATGTTTCGAGCGTTAGTCCTTCGTTGTAACAAAGAACTTACGCACCAAACGTCAGCGTAAGGAATCTTTATGGTGGCCAATTCACATGATGAAGCAAAAAAATTCTTTGGAAAAAAAAAAACCGTTAAAAAAAAAACAAAACTTATGTGCTTTGTTCTTATGAAGGGTTGATCTAGATGTGCGAAACAAAAAAAAACCCTCTGACTAGAATTTTGTGAAAAGACGAGCTAGGCAATTTGTGCTATTTTTGATAATCGGTGATGTTAAATACAGGTATTTGAGCGCTGAGCGATTTTTGCTCAGAAAAAAAAACATTGGGCTTTATTTGAAAAAAACTAAGGTGGTTTCGATTTCTTTTAGACTAAGATTGATTCCTTGGAAATCGATTTTTGACCCGAAACGCACCGGAATGGTTTTTAGAGAGACTACGTCATAAGCAAAATTCACTCATCTTTGTTATTTCAGTCTAATATATAGACCATGCTGGTCAGTCGTGTGTATCACCCTCACCGAGGAAGCCAAATTTTTGCCAGGGCAGCGCTTATGGTTCATGGCATTCGCTTTGCTTCAATGAACAAAAGTAAAACAAACACAGAGATCTTTGAACCATTGCCAAGAGAAGAACTTGTTACTAAATTCAAGTCGAAATTACGTGACCGAGAGTTTACACCAGGTTCCACACAAGGCGGCTTCCCAGAGTTCTTAGCGGAACCAAGAGATTCCCTTCCGCTTGGTGTACGCGTCCACAATCCTAACCAGGCCTCTCTCGCTCAACTGACCGCAAAGTGTATGGAATTCATGGAAGAAAATCATTCACAATGTCCAGCTATTTTGTTTCGTGGCCTTCCGGCTCGAACAGCCGATGACTTCTCGACTATTGCTGGTAACATTCCCGGAAAGCCTTTGTCGTATGAGGTCGGTGGCAGTACATATCGTAAACAAGTTGACAAAAGTGTGAAGACTTATACCGCTAGCGACGATCCATTAGAGGTTACTATGGATACGCACAACGAGATGTCTTATCTCAATACTTGGCCCAAAAAGGTTCGTCGTCGTGAGAGATATTGTTTTTGCAGTTGTTGTCGTGTTTTGTTGTTGTTGTTGTTGTTGTTGTTATTATCGTTGCCATGTAGCGTGACGAGACTAAAGAACAGCTTGAAAGGAGGCCACCCTCCCTCATAGACTTAATTTATATACTTATATTGCGCAATTACTAATATAAGAATTTTCAATTTTGAATTCAATTTTCAATTTTTCCTCCCTCATGCATCCCTGACCGTGCGGAAACATTGCAACACGATGGACTGGGTACCACCTTGTCCCCAAATATTTGCGCAGGGTCGTTACCATGTCCTCTCATTGTTATCTTTCTTTAGCTTTTCTTTTACAGCGTAAAGGAGGCTGACGATAATTGTGGTGGTGAAACACCGTTGGTCAAGAACAGCGAACTCCTTTCCAAATTGGATCCCGAAGTAGTGGCGAAGTTTGAAGAAAAGGGTGTGCGATATGTACGATATTTGCGGGACAAATCCCACGATGAATACATGAATTGGCAACACATGTTTGGCACTGAAGATAAAAAGGTACGATTTGCTACTCTTTGGTATTGAATTCAGAAAGGCGTGCTCAAAAAAGATTCCTGCCCTCGTAGGCTGAATAAGTTATAAGGAACTACTTCCTAATCTAAATTTGTCAGTACTCTATGAACGACGCTAACTACTCCCGGCTTATATCGACATGTGTCAGACCACGAATTAGGTAAGCCACTCGTCTATTTTGACCTGTCAGTCCAACATTCCAAGCCCTAAGACTTGAGCACCCTGAAGGCAAAAATAAATCACGCCTAATTCTTGTTTTACAAAGAGAAAATTGCAAAGAGGGAACAAAGTAGGATGAGTCTTAAGGGACACTATTCAAAGTGCAAACTCTCCTTACGCGCTGCCTTGATAAGTAGTCCATATAAACTCTATTTTTAACCGGCAAGAGGTTCCCATAAGTACAGGATATTGTCCCTGTTATTTTCTCAGTGGACTTCTCCTCTTCGCTCTTGTAATAAAACGCCAAAAGTACTTTGTCAATATCCAATCATTTTGACCTCGCGCTTTGATTAATGACGCAATTTTTCAGGAAGCAGAGAGGCGAGCAAAAGGTAAAGGGTACCACGTGAGCTGGAATGAAGCACAAGACTTACGTCTCTGGCAAAACAGACCCGTGTCGATACAGCACCCGCAGACCGGAAATAAGATTTGGTTCAATCAGATAGCGGCCATGCACAGCTCTTATTACCAAATTATGCCCACGTTTATTGGTAAAGGTATCCCGGATGACGAATGCCCTTCCAACACATATTATGGAGACGGAAGTCCGATTGAACTGGAAGTAATACAACACATACGAGCAACAACCTGGTCATGCGCAGTTGGTTTTCAGTGGCGAGCAGGAGACCTACTGGCATTGGATAACTTAGCCGTTCAGCATGGACGCATTGGTTACAGTGGTGAGAGAAAAGTACTCGCTTACCTTACTTGCTAGAGTGAAACTTAATTGGATGTTTGCATGTTGGCTAGAGTGTCTCAAGGGACCAGTCCAAGACGTTTAACTATAACATTCAATTAATTTTGAAAACCTGTGCAGTCTTTGTATAGTTTCCAGTTCAGCTTAGGACTAGTTAATCAGACACTGACATCAATCTAACAAGATGATAGAGCTAGTGAACCATATGTGGTATCAAGTAACTATAGGCTTTATCTGCGCTTTAGACCCAACATTGGCTTCGTTCTAAGGCTATGATGAAAGTTTGAACGGAAATAAAAATTATTTTCTTTTGAAATATTTTCCTTGGAGTGATCAGATAACTGAGCCGATTAAAAAAAAGTCGTGTTGGGAACCTATCCTAGACATTATTTCATAAGTCACGATGAATTTCATTTTCTAATCTATCTGTAGCCATTGACCCAGCACACTTTTATGCAAAGTCTGTAAATGAAGTCGAATTAAAGAACAAAATGAGTAGAAATTGGGATTTTTTATTTCGCCGACGTGCGGATTTTTTTCCTTTTCCCTCCAGTTGAGCTCCAACGGACGTGAATCTAGAGAGCTCCAATTGAATATTGCGAAAGCAGAAGGACTGAGGGATTGGGGAAGGCCCATTTAGAATCAAAGTTAGGGCCCTTGGTTTCCATTTAGAATGTTGCCTCTTCACCCATTCCGCATTGTTCCCTTCCCTCCTACAGAACGAAAACGAACAACTTTAAATTATTTTCATATATTTCCACTTAATGTCAATGCACGAAAGCATAGAAAATACATCCATTTTTGCAGAAAGGCAAACACTCTCGATTATACCAACTGCATGCAAAACTTTCAAGGATGCATAGAAATACTGTTACGTTTCATTCATTTTGCTAATATTCCGCAGAGTAAGTCCTCCTTCAAAACCTTAACCATTGTAGAGGAGGATCGAAACTGTATTAGATGATCCACGAGCTGTGATAGTACCAGTGCGGTTGAAACGATTATCTCCCCTTGTTTCAAAACGTTTCTCAAATCTGGAGTTATTCACCCTGCATTGAAAAGTAGGAAACATTTTAATTATCAAATCGCCCAATAAAAGATGACAGGGAAAACCTGGGGAAATTATGGAAATACCTTGGAAGGTAATCGCATTATCTGACAATGGTTAATGCGTGATGAGTATCCCAGCATTATGGCATTGGTAATAATCATGGAATGCGTCAGGTTCCAAGACCTCCTAAATTTTGTTTAGCTTGTTTTTCGGTGAAATGTTTGAATAATTAACAATAAAGCTGGAAAAAGTCACGGGTTTTGCAACTTTACCAAAAACTTTATTATAACGCTTTAGTTACGATAGAATATCACTGACCATTTACTCTGAGTGTCTCCCTGACTACTGGCTGCCAAAGCTTTTCCTCTCGTGGTTTCTCGGGTGCGAAAGGTGCTTTCCTGTAGATGATATGAACAAAAATGAATTGCATGTTTAAAAAACGTGCGTGCCACAATTTCCGCCTTGTTAATTAAATCTGAACACTTAAAAAATATAACTTAACAGCAGAATTTAGTTAGTTTTCGTGTTAATCGTCTCGCGCTTTCGGGTCGTTCTTACTCGCTCTTGCGTCTTGCACTTAGCAATGAAAATATCCTACCTCATATGACGACTCAGAAGACTTGTTTTCGAGCCCATTGTGCAGTAACTCAATCCTGAACTGCTTTTGATTCTCCTTTGTCAGCTTGGCTATCTCACTTTCTGCTGAACCAATCGTCAACTGAAGCGAACTCGACTCTTCATTTCCCCCATGCCGTGTCTCCTTTAATAGGTCAAGTTCTCGTGATACTTTTCCTTTAAAGGCTGCTAAGTTTTCCTCTTGCTCTTCCTTTTCATCTTCAAGTACAGAGATCCGAGCCGCAGCCTCCCGAAGGCCCATCTTCATATCCCAAAACTGTTTACTTTTGGTATTGAATTCTTTCAAACCCATCTTCACTTCCACCTGTAGAGCTTTCTGTTTTCTTTCTGCGAAAAACCTCTCGTATTCCAAGCGCGATGTGGCAGCTAACACTGCTCTGTGAAGGTTACACTTCTCCTCCTTGCTACATACAAGTTGAGTTGACAAGCGTTTCAATTCGTCATGCATCTCTTCCGCATCTCGGGTTTTTCTCATTGCACAATTCTTAAGGTTAGCACATTGTTCATTTTGCTTCTCGATGATGGATGCAGCAATATCTAACTCTTTTTTCACTTCTCTAAGGGTAGTCTCGATGCGAGTTAGCTCTAAGCTTTTCTCCTCGTTTTCTTGTGTTAATTCGTCCATCTCTTTGTTCCTTAAACATAATTTGGCCTCTATGGTTGTGAGAAGCGAGCATTTCAATCGTAGGGTTTCATTTGCGTCAACAAACCCGACTTCCTTTTCTTTTAAATACTTTTGCGTCTTTTGAAGATCTTCCTCCAGTTGTTTGACAATTGTTTCGAGCATTCTTACTTTCTCATCCTTGTCTCCCAGACACCGTTTGAGGTGAGCATTTTCGCATTGAATATCTTCAAGCAGCCGTCGCATGAACGAGCATTCGTTAGCACTGTCTTGAGAACAACTCCTGAAGTATTTCACGGATTCTTCTCTATCATTCAAATCTTTTCTCAATTTTTCCACAACACTAGCTGTATAGGCTTCCGTCTTCTTCATTATCAGGCTCGATGCGTACACTTCTCTTTGTCTTTGAACCAAGTTCCTCAGCCCTTTTCCCACCTGTGCCATTAGGCAACCCGTCTGCTCTGCTTTTCTGATGGTCTCTTTTTTAACGAGCTTCAGGCGATTATGTTCTATTCCCTGTGGGGACAGCAAATTGTCATTCTCAAAATTCCTATGAGCCAGGAGCTCTCTGGCGATTTCAACCTCCTTTCTAAGCTTTGTCAAGTTAATGTTGAGTTTTTCAACCTTTTCCTTGTAATCATAAACTAACTCTTTCAGTTTGTCCACTTCGTTATCTTTCTCAGCCAATAGCTCCCTCTGCTTCTGAGCATTAGATTTAGTTGTTTCCATCGCCTTTCTAAGACTTCGTTTCTTAGACCTTTCCCTTTGGAGTTCTTTCTTTAATTTCTTGACTTTGTTGTCTTTTCTCTCAATTCCATTGTGCATTGCATTCAATTTCTGCTCTTTAGCCTCAAGAGATTCTTGTGCCCTGTCGTGCCTCTCATTCATTATTCGTAGCTTCTTCTCTGTTTTCTCCAATAGTAATCTCTCCCCTTTAGAGGTATTCTCTCCAGCATCGACTTTCTTCTTGAAATACTCTTTGTCCGACTTTTCTCGTGCTATTTCTCGTGTTAATTCTTTGATCTTATTACGAGCCTCTTCTAACGACCATTCTTTTCCCTGAAGAGACCGTAAAGTATTTTCCCGTAGATCATCCATCTCTTGTAGTTGGTTCTCTAGTTTTTCAATTTTCTGATTCAATCTGTTACTTTCATTAGTATCATACTCTGACGCCTTCAAGGCCCTTCTCAGATTCTCTTTATCCGACTTTTCCCGCTCCAACTGTTTGTGTAGCATATCGATAGTGCCATTAGCTTCCTGTAGTGACCTCTTGTTGTTGTTTAAAGAAGTGAGAGTGGCATCTGTCAGGTCATCCCTCTTGCGTAACTGATTCTCTTGATTTTCAGTTATCTTCATAAGGTCTTTGTCTTCGCAACAAGTACACTCTTTAACTTCTATGACCCTTTTTAAACGCTCTTTTTCTGAACGTTGTTTCCTCACTTCGAGCACCAAGGCATCAATTCGGTGAACTGTGCTTCTTTTCATTTCTTCCATTCTTTGCAACTGAGTCTCAAGTTCTCCTATTCTTTCAGACTGTAATACGCGGCGGTCCTTCTCACATCTTTCCTGCCTTATCTCTTTGAGTAAATTTTTTATCGTCTCATCTTGCTCCTTGATACAGCAGTAAGCTTCCTCCACCTCCTTTGCTTTACTTTTCATGAAAGCCTCCGCCGCCTCAGTTAGATTTTTCAACTGAACCTTAAGTTCCTCAGTTCTTTCTTTCTGCCATCTCAAAGTTCCTTCGGTCTGCTCTATGTCCTGCTTGCTCTGTTGGCTTTTCATCTGGAGCATTTCTTCCTTTTCCTTCAAGCAGCGTTCTAAAATATCTGTTTTCTCTGTCTTCAATCTCAAAGCACTGTTTGTATGTTCCAAAGTACGTTCCGTCTGCTGCAGAGTTTGTCGGAGATCTCTGATGGTTTTTTCCGTTTCTTGCACTTTATATTTTTTACCTTCGTCCAGCCTGACTTCTCGAGAAAGATGCAAAGTGTCCGTTGCACTCACTTCCTCGTCGCCTGTACTTGTTACATCTCCATCAACAACGCGTGTTAGCCTTTCTCCAAAGTCAAGACCCCTTTGTCGAAGGAATTTCCTTAATATAACAAGTTCACGTTCAGATCGACGGACGCGTTTCTTTAAAACTTTGATTTCAGGGCTTTTCTTTTTCTGGCCTCCACTTAAACACTTTTCATCTTGAGCGAATTCACAGTTATCATTATGAACACTTTCCAAATCTTTCGCAGAACGATTTTTAGCTTTCATTAACTCTTCTTTAAGAGCGCTATTGTTACAGCTTAAAGCTACCAGTTGTTCTCTCAGTTCTTTGAGCTTGTCATTCGTTTCGGATGCCTTTGATAGTCTCGCGGTCAAAGTGGAGTTTTCGCGACTTAAGTTTGTGATTTCACCTTCAAGTTCTCTTTCAATCTTCCATTTTTCACATCTTAACTCATACAACTGGTTATTTTTGTCTGATTCCTTTGCTGATAGTTCCGAGGACAATATGGACTTTTCCCTTTGCAACTTCGCAATTTCATCATTAAGATCGCTAATCGTTTTTGTTGTTTCATATTTTAGCTCGTTTAACTGTGTCTTGTGTTCTGATTCCTCCGACAATTTCACGGCTATGGTTAAGTTTTCTTCCAGAAGTCTCGAAATTTTATTTTCAAGTTGACGCACAACACCAAACGTCTCTTCTTTAATCTCATTCCAACGGTTATTCTCGTCTGATGCAGCTCGCAGATCTGTCATGGAGTGTTCTTTCTTGAGCCTAGCAAGCTCATCTTCAAATTGCCTCATCATGTTCGACACTTGGCCGTTTGCTTTCTTCAAAGATTCATTTTCCACCAGTGCCTGTGATAGTTCTGATGTTAGCATATAATTTTCTTGGCCTAACTCAACTTTTACTTTCCTGAGATGTTCAATAATGCTCGACGTTTCATCCTTCACTTCACCCACTTCATCGTCCTTCCCTGACACTTTTAACAATTCCGTAGTGAGCGCTGAATTTTCTCTGCTAAGTTTTGCAAGCTGATCTTCCAATTTGCTGACTACTCTCAAATTTTCGTCTTTAAGTTCTCTCGATTCTTCATCCTTTACTGCGTGCTGAGAAAATTGTCTAGCCTGTTGTCCTTCCAACAGAACTAATCGCTGTTCCTTCAATTCTAGGGATCCGTTTAATAATTCTACTTCTTCGCGTAGATGCCCGCACCCACCGCGACTATGTTCCATCCAATACTCCTTTTTCATTTCCTTTATCGTTTTCTTCAGCTCATCAACCTGAAACATCAGATCTTCATTGCTTTTTTGACTGTTCTTTAAGCTTTCCTCCAAGAAATCGACATCATCCCATAATTCTTTTATATCCCCCATAACCTTTTCCACGGTTTCATTTCCTTCTTCCCATTTTCGCTCCTTGCTCTGAATATCACGTTTTAAATTTGACAGCTCCCTTTCTTTGTATTCTTCCCTTAACTGCAGTCGCCTTACTTCATCTTTGCTCTCATCCAGGTCAGCCTGCAAATGTTCTATCCTCTTTTGGTACGTCTCAAGTTCCTCCTTAATGACGCTTATCTGTATTTCAAGCTCGGTATTTTCCTTTCTAATTTGTCCAAGTTTCACCACGTCGTTTTCTTTGTGGAACTTTGGTTCTACCTCAGTCATTTGAATTGCAAGTTTGAAATCTTTCACCGCGCCTTTAACGTTATCATTGAGTACATCAATACTGTTAAGTAGCCTTGTACCTGAGTCGATATCCCCGTGTACGGCGCAACGTCCATGTTCTATTCTCCTGTCAAGGAACTGTTCTCCCGAGTCTGTTAACACTGAGTTTATTTGATTCAACTTGTCAAGGGCTATTCCAATGACGTATCTGTACTCAGCAACATCTTCTGATCGGTAGACATCTTTCGCCAAATATTTCCTTTTCTCCAGTTCGAGTTCTTCCTCTGAAGACTTTTCCGATTGCGATGTATACTCTTTCTTACTGTCAGGTATAGTAGTTTCCAAAGCCTTAGAAAACTCTTGCTGGAATAAATACTCAGAAATATTTACGACTGCTGCTACCGATCGCTCGTAACTTGGTAAGGCACTGCATTCATTCTCAGCACTGTGTGAAATCTGAGACATGCTTTCCTCTGTTAATATATCTTCCTCAACTTCATCAAGAAAACGGTCGAAGTCATCAATAAACTCGTCCTCAATCGAATTTTCTTTGTCTGGAGAAAACTTTGCCATGTCATCGGAAACCTTTTTTCGTTTTTTGTCATTCAACGAATCAAAGTTGCATACTTTTGTTTTGTGTTGTTGTAAGACGGAGTCGCCTTTGTCATCAATCGAAGACAGACTTCCTTTTTTGTCATCAAACGAGGCATCTGAATATTTAACGAGGACCTCGGCTTCTTTCCAATAATTTTCTTTATTTTCAGTCATCTTTTGCTTCTCGCCAGTTTGAAAGATGTTCTTCAATCCCTCTCTAGCTTTGTCATCATTCTGAACTGAAGACGAGTTATCTGGAGTAGCTTTGGGTCTATCACTATGGACTGCATCGTCGGCGTTGTTACAGGACTTGTCTTCCTTTTCAGCCAATTCTTTTTCGAGTTGCTGTGCCTCCTTCTCGTAGTTATAAGGTAATAATGTGTTCTCTATCTCTAAGCGCCCATGTTCACTTTGTTCTTCCGAGAAAGAATGTGTACGGTCCTCAAATCGAAATTCCTCCGAGATTACAGCTGTTTCTGTATCGTCAATTATATCATCTACGTTGTACATTTGTCCACTTTCATCGCTAACCACGTTTTCTTTTCTGCGTTCCGTTTTGGTCTCATAGGTTCCCATCGAGATATCACCACGGCAGGAGGTAGATAGTGCGACAGAGCTAGAGGTACAACTATCTTCTTCTTTACAAATTACTTGCACGTCCGTCTCGTAAACGCTTTCTTCTTCCGTATGAGAGGACACCCCTGATACCAAAAGTATCTCTTCTAATTCTTCAGGGATATCGTTGCAGGATGTATCGTTAGCGTCATTATATGACTTTATGTTGTTTGTAGTCATATAAGATGAGTCCTTCAAGTTAGGTCGCTTACGTACGCTTTCTTTATTACCCTCCAATTGGTCAGTTGTATAGGCCGTAACTTCCAACTTTTCATTGCCTGCTCCTAGTTCAGGTGAGTGAAAAGACGAGCTAGTAAATTGGTCTCTGTCCTTAAATTGATCGCAAATATCGTCTTTGTGGCTAGAGCTTCCCTCGCCTTTTAAAGGCCTCTCATTGTTGTTTCCATTTTCGACAGCAAAAGAGCATTTAGCTGGACTCTCCGATGAAGATATCAGCTCTTCTTGTATTAGTTTCGTTAGCGCCTTTTTGTTACGGTTTTCATCACCGGCTTCTTTGATGACATCGGAGAACAGGTCTGTTTTCAATGAACGGCGAGTTTCTTCACCACAACTTATTTCAGAGTCAGTATCTTTATCAGTTTTGTCATCTGAGCAAGGAGCAGTTCTTTCTGAAAGCGTCCCCTGAAAACCTTCGAGAATGTCGCTGCAGGTCGTATGGTTGGCATCATCATTATTTGACTTGACTTCGTTTCCAGCGAATCTGTTTTCGAGCTGTTGAGGCACCTCCTCGTTAGTATATTTTTTATTGCTATGCTCACTGTTCACTAATTTGTCGACCGTAGAATCTGTGTCTTGCAATATTTGATTATCTTCTGCCTCTTCAGGTGAACAACTAAACGACTGGAATAAGTTTTCATAAGTGTTTACGACTGCCGCTACCGATCGCTCGTGACTTGGCAAAGCACTGCATTCATCAACATTTTTCTCATCGTCTTCATTCTCAACACTGTGTGAAATCTGAGACATGCTTTCCTCTGTTAATATATCTTCCTCAACTTCATCAAGGAAACGGTCGAAGTCATCAATAAACTCGTCCTCAATCGAATTTTCTATGTCCAAAGAAACTTTTGCCATGTCATCGGAAACCTTCTTTCGTTTTTTGCATAATTTTGTTTTGTGTTGTTGTAGGACGGAGTCGCCTTTGTCGTCAATCGAAGAAAGACTTCCTTTTTTGTCATCGAACGAGGCATCTGAATATTTAGCGAGGACCTCGGCTTCTTTCCAATAATTTTCTTTATTTTCAGTCATCTTTTGCTTCTCGCCAGTTTGAAAGATGTTCTTTAATCCCTCTATAGTTTTGTCATCATTTTGGACGAAAGACGAGTTATCTGGAGTAGTTTTTATTTCCCTGCAAGCTCGTGTATGCCCCATTTCTATCCATTTGGGTCTATCACTATAGACTGTATCGTCCACATCATTACAGGACTTGTCTTCCTTTTCAGCCAATTCTTTTTCGAGTTGCTGAGGCTCCTTTTCGTAGTTACAAGCTAATAATGTGTTCTCTATCTCTAAGCGCCCATGTTCACTTTGTTCTTCCGAGAAAGAGTTACGGTTCTTAAATCTAAATTCCTCCGGGATTACAGCTGTTTCTGTATCGTCAATTATATCATCTACGTTGTACATTTGTCCACTTCCATCGCTTAACACGTTTTCTTTTCTGCGTTCCGTGTTGGTCTCATAGGCTCCCATCGAGATATCACCACGGCAGGAGGTAGATAGTGCGTCAGAGCTAGAGGTGCAACTATCTTCTTCTTTACAAATTACATGCACGTCCGTCTCGTAAACGCTTTCTTCTTCCGTATAGGAGGACACCCCTGATACCAAAAGTATCTCTTCTAATTCTTCAGGGATATCGTTGCAGGATGTATCGTTAGCGTCATTATATGACTTTATGTTGTTTGTAGTCATATAAGATGAGTCCTCCAAGTTAGGTCGCTCACGTTCGCTTTCTTTATTACCCTCCACTTGGTTAGTTGTAGAGGCCGTAACTTCCAACTTTTCATTGCCTGCTCCTAGTTCAGGTGAGTGAAAAGACGAGCTAGTAAATTGGTCTCTGTCCTTAAATTGATCGCAAATATCGTCTTTGTGACTAGTGCTCCCCTCGCCTTTTAAAGGTCTCTCATTGTTGTTTCCATTTTCGACTGCTAAAGAGCATTTAGCTGGACTCTCCAATGTAGATATCAGCTCTTCTTGTATTAGCTCAGTTAGCGCCTTTTTGTTACGGCTTTCATCGCCGGCTTCTTTGACGAAATTGGCGAACGGGTCCGTCTTAAATAAACGGCGAGTTTCTTCACCGCAACTTATTTCAGAGTCAGTATCTTTATCAGTTTTGTCATCTGGGCAGGGAACTCTACTTTCGGAAAGCGTCCCCTGAAAACCTTCGAGAATGTCGCTGCAGGTCGTATGGTTGGCATCATCTTTATTTGACTCGACTTCTTGTTCGGCGAATCTGTTTTCGAGCTGTTGAGGCACCTCCTCGTTACTATACTTTTTATTGCTATGCTCGCTGTCTACTAATTTGTCGACCGTAGAATCTGTGTCTTGCAATATTTGATTATCTTCTGCCTCTTCAGGTAGACAACAAAACGGCTGTAGAGCAAACGGTGTAAAGGGTGTAGTTTGGTTAGTGACTCTGTGATTGACTAAATCGAATGTATCATCACTACGACTATGACTCTCTTCTCTCATCAACTGCGATTGATCCTGGATATCGTTTTCTCTGTTTTCGGGAGATATTTTCTCGAGCTGTTGAGGCACCTCCTCGTTGCTGTCATTTTGGTCAATGTGTTCGCTCTCAACTGATTCGTCGACGATAGAGTCCGAATTTTCCGATGTTAGATTGTTCTCTGCCATCTCAGGTGAGTGCCACAACAGCTGTAGGCAAAACGGTGTAAACCTTTCTGAGACCTTTCTTGTCAGTGGAGCAGTTTGGTAGGTGACTGGACACTTCACTTGCTCTGGTGTTTCATCGCTATGGTTATGGCTTCCTTTGCTCATTAACTGCGACTGATCCTCGCCACTATTTTCTTTGTTTTCGGTTGATCTGTTTTCTAGTTGTAGAGGGACCTCCTCGTTTCTATAATTTTGGCTAGTGTGTTCGCTGTCCAATGATTCGTTGACATTCGAGTGCGAGTCTTCCAGTACTGGGTTTTCCTCTCCCATCTCAGGTGAGCGACACAACGGCTGCAGGTCAAACGATGTAAATCTGCCTGACGTCTTTCGTGTCAGCGGAGATGTCTGATCAGTGACTGGGCTAAAGCTGCTGAAAAGGTCTCGCTTATAATCGCCATAGCCGTTGTTTTTTTCGCAGTTTGAAACCGAGACATCTTCGTAAACAGGCTCGTCTGCTGCACGATATTCATCGTGTTTGCTGCAATCAGGCGAAGGGAAATTGCTTACGTGACTCATTGCAACAGGTTCGCCCTGAGGGCGTTTCTCTTTTTCTTGTCTGAAGGGTTCTTGACGTCCAGTCCTTGATAAAACTGTTCCAGAGTTGTCCGAGAGGGAGTCTCTATTTTCGGGCTCCATTTGAATTTCACCTTTTCTTTCTTGATCGAAGTTTAGCGCCTGTTCCAACCCAAGTTCTTCGATAGATATATCGTCTAGTGTGTCTTCTCTCCCCGCGGACACTACTTCGGCATCAGTATTGTCATCGATTCTCTTTATCTGTTCGTCAAGATAGTCACATGCTTTCTCCTTTTTTTTCGCGGCGTCACTGTAAGACTCTTTTTCCCATCCTACTTTAGCGGGTGCGCCTGAATCTGAAGCTATATGCTGTTTATTTTCAACTTCAGCCAATTTCTCTTCAATTTTCTCAACCTCCACTCCATTGGTGGGCAATCCAGGAAAATGAGCTGCTTGGACTTGCTTGGACTCTTTCCCATCTGAAGTCTTATCGGTGCATGGTTTACTTTTACTCACTCTCGGTGTTTCATCGAAGTTCTCCTTCGTCGTAGTATTCGAAGCCTCCATGGGCTGATTTATACATTTAGAAGCTTCTGAGGTTCCTTCCGAAATCTTTGAAGTCTTACCTGAGAGTTTCTCAAGTTTGCGAGCAACTTTTCGCTTTTGTTTTTCTATCTTCTTTCGTTCTCTTTGTTCTAACTTCTCTCTTTTAATTGCCTTCTTTTCCAGTCTCTCCAACCGTCTTAGTTTTTTCCGCTTCTTTTCCAACTCCTTCACACTTTTGTACTCTTTGATCTCGTGAGGCTCATATAGCACTTTGTTGTCGTCAATTTCTTCGCTGACAACAGTTTTGTTCTCCATGGTGACATGTTTGCATTTCTCCCCTTCTCGATTTTCATTTAAATTCTCATCCGGTTGTTCGTGCTCTTCTGTTGAGCCGTCTTCATCAGCTGTCTCTTCTTGATATTTACGTCGTTCGGCTCTTATCTTCTCCAGTCTACGTGCGACCTTTTTCTTTTTCTTTTCCATCCTCTCTCTCCATTTTTTATCCTCGAGCTCTCGTCTTTGGCCAATCTCATCAAGGCGTTTAAGATCGTCTTTTATTTCATCCTGTCTCTGTCTCATCTCCTGTATCTCATTTGTGATGCTATCTTCCCTTGCCTGGCTCTGTTTGATCTCCTCTACGATCTTGTTCATAGATTCGATAGCCTGTCTGTTTTCCTCTGCAAACTGTGCCTTGAGCCGTCTGGATTTTTCGTCCAGCTCAGCCATTTTCCTTTTGTATCCGCTGGACTCAGTGAAAGAACTACAGTCCAACTCTTCCTCGCTCAAACCACATTTGTCCACTTTGTCCTCTGTATCAAGCTCTGGTTCAAGCCTGATATTTTGTGCCGCGTTTGTGACGGCGGTGTCATCCTTCACGATGTTTTTGTTAAGGGTGATTTCTTCTCTCTTCCTGCATAAAATAAATTTATTTTGATCAACTAAATCGAAGTCTCTAATAGTCAACTCCTTCAAGGAATCTTGGTCATTAGAATGAAGAATTCGCTTCATAAACAAAATAAACGGGTATCTCGAAAATTACAACTTTCAATATTGAGCAAAACCTTGAGGCTTTGAAAAATTTGGGATCGTTTTCTCAACCAAAAAAGGATAACGTAGGCCGCCAATTTTACTACTATCTTGAGTCATAGAAACCTCCAGAAATCCACAATTCGCATTATTTCCTTTAGTGTCAAATTATGCTTTGTTATTTTTGGAAATATGTTCTATATCTAAGAAGTATGAAATACCAAATGAACTGTAGGTGATAAATGACAAATTGATCGCACAAAAAAAGCCTGAAAAAATTATTTTAGGCTTCGACGAGGATCGAGCCCTCGGCTTGATGCCCAGATATCATTTGTTGTGAAACAATGAGCTCAGACGCCGCAAAGGCTTGAATTCGCTCAGTTTTCCGGCTTTACTTTCTGCGATTTCTTTGTCTACAGTTTACAGATTTTAAATGGTATCACGCGCATACACTTCCTTACTTGCCTCAAAACGTGAAATTCATAAACAAGAGTTCACTGACTGCAAATGAAAAGACTACGCAGACTCTCTTTCTCTGTGAAGTCCGTTGCACGAGTAAAAACAAAAAAAGTCAGCGAAAAAAAATTGATGTTTGCGCGCCGCGCCGACCTCTCGAAGTCTGGCGCAAGAAGTGTAAATAAAAGAGAGAAAGACAACAACAACAAAATGAGTTATTTGAATACTAACTTGCACTCCTCTCTTAGCCATGGGGGTACGTTAGGCATTGCTTTTTCGTCGCTAGATTTTGAGTGACGTTCAAAGTCGTCGCCAAACTCACTGCCACTGAAATCTGCTTCGGCCCCGATACGGAGCTCTTCCTCGAGCACAGGTGCAACGTTACATTCAAAATCTGGCGTGACATCTTCTGTTCTGGCTGAGGATGATACCTCACTAGCCGAGCTTTCTTCTCGTGGTTCTTTCTCATCGCTGCAGACCTGTTTATTTAAAAGTAAAGTGTCAACCGGCCGAGACAAACGCAGTGGTCATGAGTCCTAATTAGGATGCACTATTCTTTTTTTGGCGTTCTCACTTTTCTTCTCAGAAACGTAAATTCAAGTTAACTTCCACGTCCTCCAGAGAGACGGTGTTTATTACGAAGTCTTTCACCTATGTTATTTGCTCATGAAAAGGTTTTCTCGCTGTCTCACTTCAAATCATCGATTTTTATTAGATTCACCTGTTTCGAGTCTGTCTCTAAGGGTGTAAGTTGTCGTGGTATTCGCCGCCTGACGTTTGGCATCGTTTCTTTAGCACGCCTATAACTGCCATATTTAGCTGCGGTCGAAGAAATGGTACTTGCTTTTTTCTTTTCCTCTTTTCCTTGAGTATCTTTTAGCTTAATACCTGTGATCGTATAAAAATCACTTGTTAGTTCCTCCTGACAAAAATCACTCACTAACATGTAATTTCCTCAGAAAATGTCATGAAGTTTTAAATGTAGGAATCTGCCTCCAGTTTGTGCAAACGAGCATCAACTGAGCAAGTGGATTGAAACAAAACAAGATAGCTGATAAGAGCGGTGTACAGCGGCCTCTCTCCTGTTTTGTTTTTGTTTTTGTTTTTTTTTTACGGCTCAAAATCTCTACATGCTGGGGTTGAACTTAAATCAGGAAATCAAGGTGAAAATAAATAAATAAAAGTATAAGAGGATGTGTGAAAATGAAGAGCTGCATAAAGAAATAAACAGAATAATAAAAAATGGCGACTCGTAACATTCTTTTCTACAGTGATAAGAACTAAAGTTAAGAAAAAGTCTTACTCGTCGAATTTTATAAATCGAAAACATTAAAACAATGTCTTTTTACAACCCTGTATAACATGGTTTCGGTAAAAATGTAATACAATTCATCTCAGTTCATCAAACCTACGGTGTATGGTATGATACAATCGATTGAGTTATTCCAGCCATTCACCTGAAACCGTTTTCTATAATCTCTTAAATTGCCATACGTAACACTTGAATGAAAAGAATGAAGCTAGCTAGCTGCTGGAAAAAGAACATACCTGAATGTTTTCCAAGAGGTTCTTCTCCTTGTATTTTAACATACACGGGTAGATTTTCTTTAGTATCATCTTTGTTCTTCTTCTCATCCACCGCTATCGGAATCCGCGACGGCCGCTTATTTTGAAGTTTTCTGTCTGAATCTCTATGCACAAGGGCTTTTTCATCCAAACTTCCCTTACTTTCGCTGCTCAGATGAGTCACTCTGACTGGTATTCTTGATTTCTGTCGCAGAGGTGGAAGAAGATTTTGGTTGCTTTTCTTTTCGGGGTGAAGCCACGAAGCCATCGTGTTTCACCCGCTGTTTTCTTTCGCTCGACCACTCAAATATAGTCTGTTTTGTTTTTTGCGTTTTGGTTTTTATAGTACTTGTTCTTTTTAGTTTGTTGTAAATAGTTTTTTCTCAAATTAGACTGTGAAATAATCCAAATTTCTAAAGCTCCTAATCTCGATACTGACCGCACCGATAGCTGAAGCAAATGATTTTGTTTTGAGCCAAAATCCATGGAAACCATCTCTTACAAGTCTTTCGTCATATAAAGCTGGGAAACCTTCGATAGCTCGTGCACGGGAAGAATCTGATAATAATATATTTAATGAATACGACAGTTTTTTGTCCAAATTTTCTAACTGTGAAGACTTTGAAATTTTCCCTTCAGGGAACAGAAATATAGAGCGAAAATTGGAAAATTTACATGCAAAAAGGAACTCAACCGTTTTCCATGACACAAAGAAAGCAAACAAATGTGCGGGCGAAAATCTGAACCTTTTTTTATAACTAGACAAAGCTCTATCACTTCTTGGATAAAAAAAGTCGATTTATGTTCCTTTCATAATCTAATTGCACCTTTGCAGAATTCCATTGGTTTTCTTATTCATCCACGTGTAGATCCGTCGAAGTGAACGGAGAAGTCTTCCCTTTCATCCATCCAAAGAAAACGAGTTTGACGCTTCCCATGATTTCGGATGCTGATAACCGCGTAGATAAAGTTGATTTGGTGAAGGTAGAAATGTTAGATTTCTTCTCTTGGTATATTACTTACTATTTATCGGAGATTTTTCCTAGGAGTTGGTACATTTAGGTATGAATCGTATTCTTGAAATGAAGTGATGCTAGGTTTCTTCAAAGATGCCCCAAAACATAGTTTCGGTCTCCCAGCGAATAGCTGGTTGCGTAGTAAACTTCGCAAGCAACGATAAATGTAATGAACAGCAAGGCCTCTTTCGCTTTCCTCCAACAGACTTTGCACTTGTATATTTACATGTACCATCTATTTTTTCAGGAATGCGATGATAAAAAGACATCACGTTGATAAAGAACTTTAAAAGCTACACTAAATATAATTTTATGAAGCTGATTACCTTAGGGAAAGGATGAATGCGATGAATAAAAGGATTTACGAGGTTCCAAGAAGATAAATCCTTCCATGATCCATGATCCAGTCATTTGTTAAAACTGACCACGAAAACCAGAGACTAAAATGCCATAGAATGAACTGTGAACTAGTGTCTGCCCCCGACGACCTTCGGACTTCTCGAATTTTTACGCGTGCCTCACACGAATTTGTCGCTGCCTCGCAGATTCATGAGCACACCTCAGCAATCTTGGTCGTAAGGATAAATGATCTCAGTGCTTTCCAATTCCAGGATTTAAGAATGCAGCAAAGACATCGATGAGGTGGTCAGAGGTTATATAATAGAAATTTTAAAAAATGTACCAAAAAAATATATTTATATAGTTACAAAATTGTTCTACGGGTTAAATTGCGGAAAAGAGGTGTGTGTACGGAAGGGGTTATATATAAGCGCAAACGCACAATAAAGTAAAAAACATTGTTTGTTAAATTGTGCACTATAGAAACAACCCTGTGTTAAATATAGGAACCTCTTTATTTATTACAACTTCTGTTGCTTATCCACAATGTCCCACTTTATCAGATTTATTAGATTCCTGTCATCCTCTAGGTAAGTTAGGGTGTAAATAAATGAAACGGGCTATTTTAAGCAACAGCAGAAAAAAAAATTTCATTTATAATTAAACGTACATGAGAGCTGAGAGTAGAAGATTAATAAGAAGTATTCTCCCGTCCTTGATTTCATTTCGATTAGGCCACCATTGTGAATTTTCCAACCTCATTAGCTAGGCGAGGAATACTGGGACGAGCTCCAAGCACCACCATCTTGGACACTACGGAGTATACTGTATTTCGTGTTTTGGCTCCAGCAATTCAGACATGAGTCGCAAACAAACTCCAAGTGACTTCCTGAAGCAAATCATAGGCCGTCCTGTCGTGGTGAAGCTCAATAATGGCGTCGATTACCGAGGTAAACGAGCTTTATTTTTAGTTGAATGTACATTAATCGTTTCATGATGCGTGACATTTAGAATAACAACTTTCAAATTAATAATAAACCTTTTATGATATTTTATGATATATTGCATATATCGACGTTACCTTATTTACTTATCCATGTTCTATTAAGAGCTTTGGGCTCTCTTTTTTGGATTTAAATCTGGCCTCATTCATTTTATTTCAGCATGAAATTACATAAACCCTTAAATAAATAAAAACAAAAACAAAAAACAAAAAAAAGCAAGGTGCAATTATCACTGTTTGCTAGATGCATATTATTGTTAATTTCAATAGCTTTCTTATTTCAGTATCACTCTTTGGTTCAATTCTTTTGAAAATTAATTGATTTTTTATGAAAGATTCATGCCCCTTCAGAGAAGAATTTATAAGTCTAGATTCTTTGACCCCAGAGAAGAATTGTTATTCATAGGAGAAGAAATCAGGTACTCAAGCAAGGACTGCAGTCCTCCCTCTCCTTTTCTACCCAAAGAAAACAAAACTCTTCTGACAAGAGCCAGGTATTAAGGTATTCTTCTGAATAGAAACACTGCTTACCTCAAAAGATATGATATTCATTTAAGCAGAATCTCACATTTAAGCAAGTTTATCAGAAGTATTACTGTTCCTCCCCAAAGACTCAATATTTGTCAGGGAGGAGTGTCATTTTGTGATTCTTCTCTAAGGAGTTTCTATGCTTCGCTCAAGAATGGGTATTTCGTAAAGATCCTCATTATTCTTCAGAGATTGACCTTGCTTTGGTGAAGAATGAAATTCAAAATGATTTTTGCTGGGAAAATCTTTGTGCCCTTTGGAAGACTGGTTATTCTATTAAGCAGAATCTCCTGCTTTAATGGGTTGTGGTGAATTATCAAAACAATTTTTTTTTCTGACCAAGAAGATATGGGCATTGAGGTTAATTATTAGAGAAAATTAAATATCTTTGTGTTGTGATAAGTTTATCATAAGCTAAATAAGACAGAGCTGGGTAATGGCTCTGCTTATCATAAACATACTTGTGATGCCTTAACAACCATTTACTAGGTGAAACAAGAGAGTGGTAATTTTGAGACAGTATCTTAGATCTATAGCCCTAATATCCACTAAAAACCATTGTTAAGCAAATTTATGTAGACGAGTATTTGTGAAGCTCACGCATTTCCCTGATGGTAGAAAAACATGGAAAAAATACATCCTTGTGATCAAACTAAAATAGGTTTGGGCTGAATTTCAGCAAATGTTCAAAGGTTAAAGCTAGTGTTCCTCAGATAATTTGTGGTTCTTTAACAGTGAGGACAGTCTGTGGTGATACTTTTTTTACCTCATGGCATTATATCCCCTGCCTCCCCTTCTGGGTTTTCTACTGTCCCCAAGGTTGGACTATAGTCTTCTGTTCAAATATCTGGGGGGTGTGGGACAAAGGCCAAAATTTTTGCCTGAGTACTTGGAGTTGAACACAAGTTGAACACAATTCAAAATGATGTCTTTTATGTTGGACCATTAGCTAAAATGATAAAGGTGTACTTTCCTTCTTTTTGCTCCATCTTTGATCAAAATACACCTTTGTACATGTAGACCTCACAAATGAAGACCAAACTTGGTGGAGAATACTCAACTGAGAGAAACAGGCTTTAAACAGTATCAAAATTCACAATTACAACAGTAGCAGCTATCAATGAATATGGAAATATTTTAGTCATACAGTGTAAGCAATTGAAATTATTGTCTTCAGGTTGATTTTCACTCATCTGTTTGGCTGTCATTTGGCTATATTTCACATATATTTAGCAGCTGATTTGAGGTTTAGTAGATTTCATTGGATTTGACTTTTTTATTTGTTACACAATTATGCTATTTTGCTCCTGTTTCTTCCACATGAACTTTATTAATCAGATATTAATGTACAGTTAAGTTTGTTTGCTTGCTCAGCAAGCTTAAAATTGGCCATCATTCTCCACATTTTTTTACTGTTCAGCCATCAATTTAACTGGCTTTTAGATAAAAGTTGTCTTGAAGCCTCATCTTTAAGATATTGTTACAAGCAGAGGCATATTTTTACTTCTAGCTTTGCAGCAAATACTTTTAAACTTACGTAGTAATCAGAAGGTGGTTTAAGGGCACGTCACAAAATATTGGAGATGGCATATGGTTAAAGTTCTCATCATCTAGTTGAATAATCAAGAAATGGCATGAGGTACAGTGACATGACGTGCAAGAGTGTAACATGATAGCTTTTTTCATTATGTAAATTTTTTGTTGTCTACTTGCTGCTTTTTCAAACCTAAAAGTTCTTTGTTTCACACAACAGTGTAATACAAAGGAAACTTGTAGCACTGAATAACAAAGGCACGAGTCGCACATTTTTTCCGACCATGCACACAAAAAAATTGTACATATGCATCTGACTACCCTGTGTCTGAGCGTATGAAATTTGTCTGTGCAGTCAATGTATATGTGAGTGTACTCCGTACATAGCTCCAAGGAGCCTTTCATTGACTCAACCCTTTAACTCCCAGAAGTGATTAACATGAAACTTCTCCCTACAATATCCATACATTATTCAGCAAACAGGTAATGAGAATATTCAAACTTATTGGGTAGAAGCTGTTATCTTGATCTAGCACCAAGTTCTCATAACTAATTTACAAGGAAATGTGTGGCAGCTAGAGGGAAGAATTATTTAATAATTAACTATCAGATCTTGGGAGTTGAAGGGTTAACGTCTATTGGTGGTTTTCACTGTCATGCAATTGAAATCTAAAGTCAAATATATTGAATGCCTGATGCCAAAAGAGTGAGCTATTGTAGAATATTGATATATAACTTGCCTTGAAGTTTCAGGAATGTAGGGTTTTTAGGTGCTGAGTTATTTGCCCAAATGTCTGACATAATTTTATAGACTGAGCTCAATATGGGGACGCTACGTTGGTGCTCATCCAAATGCCACATGGTGGCCATGAAGTACATTTGTAATGCAAACTTTGTTGTCTTTTTTGGCCACAAAAATGATTGTTTATCCCCAATGAACCCACAAACATTTATATGAACACATTTATTAATTAACACTTAAGGAACAAAATGTCACACAATAAAATTCAGTTTTCCATATGAAGCAGCTTTTCAGGCAGCTATTTCAATCTATGTCTAATAATGAAAAATTATAAAATTGAGAAAGGTTGGATCTATTTTTGAAATAGAGAATGCACATTATGCTGAAACCTCTTTCCAAAAGATTAATGTTTAGGAGATCTTTAGTCTTTTGGAGGTAAAACTGCAGTAATAGCCCTCATTATCTTAGATCTTTATAATGATGTTAGATGAAAACTAAGGATACTTGATATGTGTTGATGTGAGCAGAAAACTGTACGACTTTTCAACTTTTCGTAAAATCCACCATTTTACCGTAATACAGTATTGCTATGGTTTTGAATGTGAGTTTGGAAAAGTTTTTGAAATGCAAGAATGTCTTTCATCTTTCGTTTTGGTTTTTTACATTTTTAACATTACTGCCTCCCTTTATAGCTTGTTATGTAAATTCAAGTTGTATGTTTGCAGATAAACACATAAATATTGCTCTCTGTGATTTCTTGCAGGAGTGCAGTGGCCTGTCTTGATGGTTACATGAACATTGCTTTAGAGCAAACAGAAGAGTATGCTAATGGGCAGGTAAGTAAAATTTCATTTACATACACAAGTTCTCTTATTCAAGATAAGTGTGGCTGTAGTCCATGAACTGTTTTAGTTCATATCTTGTTTGAAGTTTGAATTCTATTAATTCATAAATGCAAAGCAGTTAAAAAAAAATTGAATTGCATATTTACATAACAAAAATTGAATTATACAAATCTAGTTATTAACTAATCAATCTCAAATACAGGTGATAAGCTGCTAAAAAAGGTATGATATCATAATACAAGCTGCAAAATTCTAAAACCCTAAACTATAAATTAGTTGCTTTAAGACATGAAGAGATAGTAAAAGTGTTCTTAAAATGGTCAGTTTTAAAACGTGGCATATTAAAAGATCATGCATGTCTTAATGAATAAGTAGTTTTGTGCTGTGAGGGTAATTACTTAAAAAGGTAGTAATTGTTATCATTTACAATTGTGTCCAAAAGTGTCTCATATTTCGTCTATAATGATGAAATTAAATTAAATTCTACACATTTTTGTATTAAACCAGTTGAGTATGTTTTAGAGTAGAGGACTTGTAATCCTTTTGAAAAAGTAGCACATATCCTTGATATCATTATATTTATAGAAATTATAGCATGATTACCAAATGAAAATGACTATCAAAATGCAAAAACATAAAAAAAAAGAATAAAAAAAGAAAATACTATACATAAAACAGTTACATGGAGAGGGGTAGAGATGATACCATGGTGGGTGTGATGGCCCAATTGATTTAATCCTTTATACCTTAATATCAGTATGCATTTTCTCCATACTGTGCTCAATACATTTTTTAAGGTTCTGAAAAGGAGAATTTGTTTAACAGGTAAGAGTTCTTTAGTTGTTGATCATTTCCCTTATTCTCATGACCTTAATGTTTGATTCAAGGTTGTTGTGCAGCATGCCAAGTAATTTTATGTGTGCATTTATTTTTCAGCTGAAAAACAAATATGGTGATGCTTTTTTGAGAGGGAACAATGGTATGTATAGTTGTAACGATGTTATACCCCATTACACACCAAAGCTCAAACATGTTTAAAAGCGGTCATATTAACCCTTTACACCCCGACATTAATCTGCATATTCTCTATACTGTCCTCTGTAGTTTTAGATATATATCCCAAAGTGCTTATAAGGAGAATTTGTTTTATAATCAAGAGCTTTTTTAATTGGTGATCATTTCCTTTATTTAAGTGACCTAAATGTGTGATTCAGAGGTGATAACATAAGCAATTATATGCTGGTCACTCCTAGGAGCCAAAGGGTTAAAGCAAGTCTAAAAATTTTGTTCTTGCTAGAAGCAGCAGAAACTTCAAATTTAGCTTATTTAAAATAAAAGTTTAACTTGAAATTTAACATTGAAATTTAACATTGAAATTCTTCATTCATAGTTTGTTTATACCAGATACTTTAGTAAGTGTGGGCTTTCACACCATAACCATTTAACCCTCTCACTCCCAAGATCTCATTGGTAATTCTCCTTACTATGTGCTATTCGATTATTTTGATGTTAGTTCAGAGAATTTGGTATTGGATCAACGAATAATCCCTTAATTGACATTTTTCTTTATTCTCATCACTTCTCTGCTGGATATTGGTTTGATGTTGTAAGGAGAAATTCTGCCTTGGTCACTTGTAGAAGTTAGAGGGTTAATTAATAGGTCCGTTACTGATGTTCTGTGTTCCCTTTTCAGTGTTGTACATCAGTACACAAAAGACAAGCAGAAGATGACAACAAGAAGGTGTACAAAAGAAAAAATCAGTCCGCATGATCCCCCCAAAAAAGTTAAGATGTTAGTCTGCTCAGAATTAACTGTAAATAGCCGTTGTTTTTGTATTTTCCAATAAACTTTTATTTGCCACATGGTAGAAAGTTCTTCGTGATGTTGTTGTTTTTGTTGTACCTATGGTCGTTTTACGACAGAATTGAAGTCTGCTCAACTTTTGATATGCTCTTCTAACTGTCAATCAACACCAAGACAATCTCTCTTGATTTATCGAATACCTCTCCTTTTCCTCTTCTCTGATTTGTTAAATGCGCACTTGTCTTTTGACCGGGTTGAAATTCGCCACCAGGATAAAAAGTCTGATATGCCGAAGTTAGTTACTCCAAGAGTTAAGGTTAATGATTTTAGAGATTATTATACCGTCGTCAACAGCTTAAAAGATGGAAGTGAAAGTTGAGCCTTTGTCTTTCAAAATTGTTTAGATTGAAAGAAACTGGGGCCGACACGAATGGAAGATTGAAACCTGCGAGGATTGAAGGGTTTGAAATTTTACAGATTGCTACTGGTAACAGCTCTCCTCGCAAAGTTACGTAGACTCTTGATGCAGTGTTAAACATTTTTTCAGATGATCAAACGGAAATGCTGGCTTTTTTCGCCAAAAAAAGCGTGACAAAGCGGTGTGTTCAGTGGACTGGTCGCGTTCGTCGGTCAAAGATGAATATCGGTCCCTTACACCGCCATTCCTCCTACTTAAAAGATCAGAACACGATAGAACTCTTAAAATAGAACATGGAGTCTGTTTGCTTTACATTGGACCTAAGTAGGAAGTAAGAAGCTCGTTTTAATTCACTGAAAGCGTCAAACCCGTTATCTTTGGATGAATGAAACGGGAAACCTCTCCTATCACTTCAATGGATCTACACGCAGCTGAGTAGGAAAAATAAAAAAAATTATGCAAAGGTACAATTATCCTAATCCAAGAAAACCACGGAGCTTTATCCAGTTATTACAAAAGTTCAGATTTTTCGCCAGCACACTTGTTTCCCGTATTTTAGCGGCAGCCAGTGATGTGGAAAATGGTTTCATATTTTTGCTTGGAATTTGTACGTTAACCTGCTACTTTTCGAAGGGAAAAAACTTTCGAAGTTTTCACAGTTAAAAATCTTGGCAAAATTTTTGTGTTTATTACATTAATAGCCAGATTTCCGTAAAACTCACTGTGCACGACCTATCGAAGGTTTTCTAGCTCTATATGACGAAAAACTCGTAAGAGATGGTTTCCATGGATTTTGTCTCAAAACAAAATCATTTGCTTCAGCTATCGGTGCGGTCAGTATCGAGATTCGAAGCTTTGGAAAGTTGGATTATTTCACAGTCTAATTTGGGAAAACTATCTAAAAGAAACAAAAAAATCAAATATCGTAGAAACCAAAACGCAACAAAAAAGTAAAAAACAAAACACTTCTTGAGTAGGAGTTTACATCGAGCGAGAGAAAACCGCGGGTGAGACGCGATGGCTTCATGGCTTCACCCCGAAAAGAGAAGCAACCAAAATCAAGTTCCTCCTCTACAACAAAAATCAAGAATACCAGTCAGAGTGACTCGCCTAAGCAGAGAGGGTAACAGAAGACCTTCGTCCGAGAACGGAGCCTATAACAAAGCGCGGCTGGAGAGAATTTCAGTAAGCAAACTTCAAAACAAGCGGCCATCGCGGATTCCGATTCCGATGGATGATAGGAAGAACAAAGTCAAAGTTAAAGACAATCTATCCAAGAATGTCAAAACAACTCGAGGAGAAAAGTTTCTTGGAAAAAATTCAGGTATGTTTCTCAGCATTTAGCTCGCTTCACTTTTCCATTCAAGTATTGCATAAAAAACTGAAGGAATCTTAGAAAACGGTTTCAGGTGAACGGCTACGATTACTAAATCGACTGTATCATAATATACGCCGTAGGTAAGATGAGCAGCCTTTGAGATAAATTGAATTAAATGTTTGCGGTAACCATTTTATACAGAGCTGAAGAAGACTGACTTCATTCCAATGTTCTTCGATATATTAAACCTGATGACTAAGAATTTTCTTTCAACTTATGTCCTTCTTCAGTGTAGAAAAGAATGTTACCAATGATCGCTATTTATCACCACAATTATATGTATTTAATTATTTATTTAGCTCTTGATTTCATGTATATTCTGTTGTTTCCATTGATTTGTTTTCTCTTCGGTTTCCTGGATAAAATTCTTTCCCAAGTCGTTGAGATCTTGACCCGCAACTGGAGAGGGGCGGTTGTAGGCCGCTTAAGTCACCTGTTCTCTCGTTGATTTCAAACCAGTTACTTAATTGATGCTCATTTACACAAACTAAAGGCAAGTTTGTGCAGTAATAACTTCACGGCTTTTTTTAAAGGAAATTGTATGATAGTCTCTGATTTTTCTAAGGGGGAAACTAATTGATAATTTTTATTTAGTCACAGGTATAAACCTGCAAGAAACTCAAGAAAAACACGGCAAGAAGAGGGCAATCTCCGTTACAACTACAGCTAAATATGGCAGTTATATTCGCGCTAAGAAAACCAAGCCAAAGGTCAGGCGACGTGTACCACGACAACCTTCACCCATTGAGACAGAGCAGAAACAGGTTAATCTGAATAAGGTATATTATTTAAAGCAAGGCTGCGAGAAAAGTGCTTTATGAGCAAATATCGTAAGAGGATCTGGAACTTAGTGTCGTGATTGGCCTTTGTTTCCCATCCTTATGCGAATCCAGAAATTAAGTTTCTGAGAGGAAAAGCTACTGAGTCGTAAACAGAATCGTGTATCCTAATTACGGCTTATCACTCGTGTAGATCATAATTTCTAGCTTCGTTTTTGCCCGTTTTCCCTATCATAGTGATATCCAGAAACTCAACAACTCCAACGGAAACAACGCCTTTCATTCTTAATTACACAGATCTGTAACGATGAGAAAGAACCACGAGAAGAACGCTCGGCTAATGAAGTATCATCCTCAGTCATAACTGTGGAAGTCACGCCAGATTTTGAGTGTAACGTTGCACCTGTGCATGAGGAAGAGCTCCATATGGGAACTGAAGCAGATTTCAGTGAGAGTGGGTTTGGTTACGACTTTGAACGTCAGTCAAAATCTACAACCGAGAAGGCAATTCCCAATGTGCTCGCATGGCTAAGAAAGGAGTACAGGTGAGCGGTCACATTTTTTTTCAATTTAAAATCAGTGAATTTTACTGTAGCAATTTTATCTCTGAGGCCAGTAGAGTAGGGTATAAACGTGATACAATTTAGTGTTAAAAAAATTAAGAAAAAACAAGTAATAGTAACAGGAAGTACACAGATCTCTTTAAATCCATCCATTGATCAGAGAATTTTTTTTTCAGGCTTTTCTTTTGCATTCGCCGCATTGCAATCTACCTGTGAGGTCAATTGATCAACTATGACCCAGAGGTCGTATCTCATTTCAAATTTGTTTGATATACTATGAGAACGTAGTTCCAGGACTGACAAGAATTGAAGCGTAAAAGTGATTTGAGCTCTATTTTCCCAAGGTATCAGGCTTACTGCCGGAGATCTTATTTGGATTAAGCGATCCCAGAGTTTTCAATTCGTAAAGGTTTTTGCTCAGTTTTAAATTTCTTATAGAGGTGATTTCCGGAGTCAACGACTTTTTTGATGAAAGTTATTATGTAACCTAATGAGCAAGTTCAATGGTGGAGTTTACCAACAGAGACATCGATGTAGTTGATCGATATGAATTCATTTCCCGCAGAGAGAGAGATGAAATAGACGATAACATCGTGAAAGATGACAACGCCGTCACGAGTGCGGCACAAAATGACAAACATGAACCAGAGTTTGATTCAGATAGCAAAATGGATGTCGATGAATGCAGCGACTTAACAGGATACAAGCGTTCAGTTCCAGCAGTCATAAACATTTCTGGATATTTATTCCCACAAGAGTTGTCCAAGGCTTTGGAAACTACTAAACCTGAAAGTAAGAAAGAGTATGCATCGCAATCGGAAGAAAAGTTTCCAGAAGAAGAACCAAAGCTCCACAAAGAAAACATCGAGATGGAATTTGAACAACTTAAAAGGGAAAACACTGAGCTTGAAACGCAGATTAGCGTCATGACCGAGGAACTTGAAACGTACGGAAAGAAGATAGAAACTTTGCAGGCTGACTTGGATGAGAGCAAAGTTGAAGTAAAGCGACTGCAGTTTAAGGAAGAATACAAAGAAAGAGAACTGGCAAATTTAAAACGTGATCTCCAGAGCAAGGAGCAAAAATGGAAACAAGGAAACGAACACGTGGAAAAGGTTATGGCAGATATAGGAGATCTATGGGATGATGTCGATTACATGCAAGAAAGCTTAAAGAACAGTCAGGAAAGGAATGAAATTCTGACGTTTGAGGTTGATGAGCTGACGATAATGATGCAGGAAATGAGGAGAGAATATAGGATTGAACACAGTCACGGTGGATGCGGACATCTACGAGAGGAGGTAGAGTTACTAAACGGATCCTTGGAATTGAAAGAACAGCGAGTTACTGTGTTAGAGAGTCAAATTGACGCTTTTCAAGCAGAAAGAAAAGAATTATTGAATAGTGTTGGTTACTTGGAGGAAAGCTTAAAGAACAGTCAAGAAAAAAATGAAGATCTGACGTTTGAGGTTGATGAGCTGACGATAATGATGCAAGAAATGAGGAGAGAATATAGGATTGAACACAGTTACGGTGGATGTGGACATTTACGAGAGGAAGTAGAGTTACTAAACGGATCTTTGAAGTTGAAGGAACAGCAAGTTGTTGTTTTAGAGAGCCAAATTGACGCTTTTCAAGCAGAGAGAAAAGAATTACTGAATAGTGTTGGTTACTTGGAGGAAAGTTTAAAGAACAGTCAAGAAAAAAATGAAGATCTGACATTTGAGGTTGATGAGCTGACGATAATGATGCAGGAAATGAAGAGAGAATATTGGATGGAACACAATCGCGGTGGATGCGGACATTTACGAGAGGAAGTAGAGTTACTAAATGGATTCCTGGAATTGAAAGAACAGCGAGTAGTTCTGTTAGAGAGCCAAGTGGACGCGTTTAAAGCAGAACGCTCTAGCTTTACAAATGCTGCACATAGCATGAAAAGAGAGATGGATATTCTTAATAACGAAAAGGCGACGACGAAGACGCAGTTTCATGAACGAAACCGTGAAACATCAAAGACTATTAGCGATCTTCAAGATGAAATTGCAAAGTTACAAAAAGAAAAGTCCACATTGTCTTCCGAACTATCAAAGAAATCAGGAGAAGATAACCAGTTGTGTGAGATAACATGTGAAAAATCGTGGATTACAAGAAAACTTGAAGATCATATAACAAGGTTAAGGAGAGAGAACTGCTCTTTAAACGCAAGAGTTTCAAAGGTATACGAAAAGGATGCCCAGTTGATTGAATTAAAAGAAAAAGTGGAATTTAACAAGCATCAGTTGAAAAATTTAACTGAGGCGGCGAAGGCGTCTTTAAACAACAAAGAGAAAGAAGTGGAAGAAGCCAACCGCATTATAAAGAAACAAGACGAAACCATCAAAAATCTAATCGAAGAGATAAGGCAGGAAAGGTGTGACAGGGACCGCCTCGAAGTGCAGTCTGAAAAAATCAAAGAACTTGAGGCTCAGTTACAAAGAATGGAGGACGTAAAAAGAAACACTTCAGCTGTTGCCTTGGTGCTTGAGGTGAGACCAGAAAGTTCAGAAAAAGAGAATTTGAAAAAGGCTATGGAAGCTAAAGAGTGTGGTTCTCATAGAGCGAAAGAGCTTCATAAGAGAATCGGACATCTAGAGAATCAGCTACGCGAGAGGGATGACCTGATAAATGCCACTCTTACATCTCTAAACAACAGCAAGAGGTCTCTAATGGAAGCTAACAACACTATCGATTTGCTAACTGAACAGCTGGAACGGGAAAAGTCGGATAAAGAAACTCTAAGAAGGGCTCTCGAAGTGTATGAGAGTAACTCCTTTGCCAAAAAAGAAATGACTGAGAAAATTGAAAAACTAGAGGAGCAGTTACATGAGATGGATGATCTACGAGAGAAGACTCCAAGGTCTCTTAGAGAGAAAGAAAGGTCATTGGAGGAGGCTCATGTGGAGATCAAAGAGTTAACTCAACAAATGGCACTCGAAAAGCCGGACAAAAAGTGTTTCAAGAGGAAGATCAAGGCTAGAAAGGGCACCGCTAATCGACTGAATCTCGTTCAAAAAGGGACTAAGAGAGATACACAGGAGAAGGGTTCGATAGTGGCACACGTGGGAAAAAGGCTGAAGAACTTGGTGCGTAGACAAGAGGAAGTGAAAGGAAAAGAAACCAGTACAGGACGTGTGTTAGACAAATCAAGGGATGATTTGAGGAGTACCCTTAACTACAGTTATAAGGAATTCTCGTCCATGCGACGGCAGCTTGAAGACAGTCAATTTGAAAATTTCGATCTCAAACAGCGTCTTGGAGAAAAGGATGGCAAAGTAAGAGCGCTAGAAACAACTACCAAACAACTGCAAGAAGATCTTCAAAAAACGCATAAATACCTAAAAGAAAGAGAAGTCGGCCTTGATGACGCAAATGAAACCTTGCAATTGAAATGTTCGCTTCTCACAACCTTAGGAGCCGAATTATGTCTAAGGAGCAAAGAGTTGACTCAAGCAAACAAGGACAAAGGCCTAGAGATAACTAGTATTGAGGCCAACCTTGAAGAAGTGAAAAAAGAGTTAGATGTTGCTACATCCATCGTCGAGAAGCAAAATGAACAATGTGCTAACCTTAAGACTTGTGCAACACTAGATGCAGAAGAAATGCAAAACGAATTGAGACGCTTGTCAACTCAATTTGAATGTGCCAGAAGCGAGAAAGAAAAATTTCAAAGAGCATTGTTAACTGCTACAGCACGTCTGGAAAACGAGAAATTCTTCGCAGAAAAAGAACAGAAAGCATCACACGCGAAAGTGAACTCTGGTTTGAAAGAATTGAATACCGAAGGTAAACAACTCTGGGACACGAAGATAGACCTTCAGGGGGCTGCAGTTCCTTTACCTGCACTTGAAGATAAAGAGGCAGAGCAAGAGGAAAACCTAGCAGCCTTTCAAGGAAAATTATTACATGAACTTAACCTATTAGAGGAAACACCGTACGTGGAAAATGAAAAGGAGAGCCCGCTCCTGTTGACAATTGGCTCAGCAGAACGTGAGATGGCCAAGCTGACAAGGGAGAATAGTAGGCAGTTCAGGACTGAGTTATTACACAATGGGTTCGAAAACAAACCTTCTGAGTCACCGTGTGAGGTGAGATATTTTCCTTGCAAACTGCGAGAGTAATGCGAAAGCGCGAGTTGATGAATACGGAAATCATATGATTTTGTGCTGTCACCTTTAACCTTCTGCACTTTTGGAATTAATTGACATGCTAAAATTTTGACATGCGCAGTTTTAGGCGTGTAATTAATTATTTTGTTTTCATACCATTAACAGGAAAGAACGTTTAGCACCCTGGAAACCAAGAGAGTAAAAGCTGCTCCATACAAAATAACATTTTTTGACGATGAAAGTTGTCAGGGAGACACTAAGCATAAATGGTCAGTAATGTTTTATCGTTTCTAAGATATAACAACATGGTTTTTAGGTAGAGCTATAACTCTCGTCATAACTGTTTTAGAATTTATCTTTTTTGTCGCCTTTCATTGTTGCTAACTCGAAGATTTCTCCGCATGAAGAAGGCTTGGTATTGATGAAGGGGGTTGATGGTCAAACAGAGCATAAAAAAGATTTTCGCCAGCGAATAGAGATCCCTTTCAGCCAGCCTTTTCTTTCGCGTGAATATTCCTCGACAGTTTTATCACCGAGATAAGTAAAAAAAGCAAATTTTAAAAAATTGACTGATATTAATTTAAAAATAGGTCTTTAAGCCAGAATTTTTCATTCACGAGGATATTCCTTGACAGTTTTATCACTAAGATAAGTAAAAACAAGAAAATTTGAAAAAAATGACATATTAAATTTTGAAAATAGGTCTAGGATCCTCAGAGATCCCATAATTAACACTAACGTGATGATAACGGAATTCTCACTGTGCAAAAACTAAAATCTTATGTGCTGTTTCTTCACGTTCCCAAACCTTCAACCTGTTATCTTTCAATGGGTTATTTAGTAATGAAAGTGTTTCTTACATTTAATCGCAGGGTGAACACCTCTGGGATGGAGAAACGTTTTGAAACGAGTGGAGATCCACAGTTCAACCGCACCAGTACTGGGGCTGAGGTTGACCATTCTACGCGGAACCTCTCTGCACACAGACCACCAAATACAGTTTCAATCCTTCACTGCAATGGTTAATGTTTTGTGGGAGAACTATATTGGCAAACTGAGTGAAGTGTGATGATATAAGATATTTATTTTTCATCACCATTGAAAAATTTACATGCAATTGTGATAATGTTTAAGGTTTTTCTTTTTCAAAAGGGCGTGCTTGCCTTATGTAAATAAATGACTGTATTTTCTAAGCATTCGTGCTTCGACATTAATTTTAAATGCATTAAAATACTTTTTTAAATGATCGATCTTTGTTTTTCTGTCATGGAAGGGAACAGTACAGAATTGGCGATAGAGCAATCTTATCATTACAAATCACGCGCCCTTATTTGGAATCTAAATGGATCCTCCCAAACTCCTCCCATCCACGCAATACTCGGTTTGGAGCTCTTTGATTTTTGAATGGATTTATGGGTTTTATTAGTGTTGCTAAGATAGTGGAAGAAAACTTTTGTACACGGCATTCTCAGCAGAGACAAAGCAAATGCATACACCTACACAAGCAAGAGTTGGGTACCGGAAGGTCTCTTTTTGACGACAAAACTCAAAATTTACCCTTTTTCCCCTTCCTGCTGACATACATGACGCTTCCGACATTGCTGATTGTAGTTGTAGGCACATGAACCACGTGACCTCAGTTTTAGAGCATCGGAGCCCGAAATGTAAAGGTCCGGGTTCAAGAGGGAGGGGGGGGGGGGGTTCTTTTTAATCATGAACGAGAGAGAGAAGGAAGCAAACATTTAGGCCTGTCATAGTTTAGAAGCGTGGTGCCTCAGCGCCTTTCCTTAATAGAATTGCTCTCCCGTCCTTGGCCGCCTCTAGAATTTTACCAAATAATAAAATGGTGGACGCTTGCTGAACGAGAGCATGAACTGCGCACTATTGAGTTACCGAGTTTCTTGCAATTCAAGGGCTGGTTCTGCTAATTCTGGTAAAAAAAATTGCGAAATCATCATTTTGCTTAAAACATTTTGATCGGTAATCTTTTTTTTCCCCAAGGATTGCTCTTTTAGCGAAGGTTGAAAAGATTAGCAAGCTTTATTTACTTTCTGCCTTGACTGCTATGTTGAATATCCGTTGCTTTGCTTTCAGAAGTTATCCTTGATTTGCATCTTGTGACTAAACGGTCTTTTCCTGATACATTAATGTAGTTTCTTGTCATTATTAATTAACTATGCCCTATTAAATGAAATTTTTCAGTAAACAACTTAAAATGAATGACATAAAGATATAATTTTTTCAGTGGTTGCTGATATGCCATATTCAAAATCACTTCATCATGGCTTCTCGCCCGCGCGTGCTAAGAAATTAAAAAAATAAAAATTTTCCTGGTAAAATTTCAAGTAAATGTGGTCAGCATAACATAGAAACTTTGAAAAAGTCATCGTCTCTGAAAAGAAATTTTTTTACCGTTTAAATCAACAAACTGTAAAAAAAGAACCGAAGAAATAACTTCGATGGCGGTTAGATGTAACAATGTAAATGACATTGATTGCTTTACAATGGCCTCTCGCGAACTCGTACAAGAAAAAAAACAAGAATTTTATTTGCAGAAAAATCTAATGTGTGTGATCGGCGCGTTATTCAAATGAAGCTTTCTTTAGTAAAAAAATGTGTCACCCATGCAGGCCAAGGTAGAAAAATATTCATCTCATATGCAAATGTCAAAGAAAAGCAAAGAGGTGTTGCAGAGGTAGAATAGGGAATAATGAGCGTTCATTGGTGTACGCATACATTTCGCACTTTTGAATAAAAGCTACTTGAATTCCAACAATCTTTTTCACTGTCATGCGCAGCTTAGCCGATCTGATCATTTTTGAATTTTCAACGGTGATGTTTTAGTTTATAAAACTGAGAAACTGAGTACGGACTTACGAAATCTTTCATGTTACTATTGCGTTTCTTGGCTGCCTCAATCATTGCTCGTAGAATACAACTACAAATACCGTGCATTCCATAACAGCCAAGATGAGAGTTCCAGGAGTTTTGTCAAAAACCTTTATGGTAATACTGCTGCGAAATGATCACACTTCGACTCTTGACTTCACCAAGATATCAAAAACTCACAACTCTAAATTCAAACCTTAGATTGGTGTGAACTGTTTGTTAGAATGGTTGACGCGAGAGGAGAAAGACTTTGGCGTACGACACTGGACCCTCAGGTTACAACATGGTAAGAGAAACTACAGTATAAGTTATGAGAGAGTAGCAGCACGATTAAATTTTTACGCGGAAGGAACAGAAAACTAGTGTTATACATAGATGGGCAGAAAGTTCCCACAATTACTTTACGATTCAATGTTTGTCACCTCATACGTATTTATTTTCTTAAACGTTTCCTATATTTCGAATTCGATATCATTAGAAACATTACCACCTAAATCTAATTTTATACCAACTGAAATCACACATGTTGTATCTAGAAACATAGTAGATGTATATGAATGACGAAACATCGTCTATCTAGACTATCACCGATGTATTTAGAATTTAAAGGAAATCTATGGCTAAATTGTGATGAATTAAAGGTTACTGATTTCTAATTTTCACAATTGTTTCTTTCTTCCAATTTATTGAAGGTTAACAGTGATAAGATATAACCGATTCCAGTTGGAACATAGCCACTGAATATGTGCGTGATCACCAAAGCGGACACTCCTCATACGAAAAGAAAACGACCGAGGTTAATGTTCCTGGTCATTCGGATAAGATCTTCAGTCTATTTTCATCGTGGATTATTGGAAGTTATGAACTGCAAGAGAGAGAGAGAGAGAGATTGGGACTCAATGTACCAAACATGTGCTCCTGAAGAAAGCTAAAAGGACTCAAAAGTAAGTTTTTATTTTAAAGGAGAAGCTAGCTTCAGAAACTGTGTAAATTTTATCTCTGCAAAAAAAGAGATATATATGCCAAAAAAATTTACTCTTAATTGCGTCTGGAAGTTCTGGAAGAGTAACCTATTCGTTCTAAATTTGTCTTTAAATTAGCCAAATATTCTGCTCCTAAGTTATGAAATATGGATACCTCTAAGGTTGCAGTGGAGACATTATTTGTGATTAAATTTTTCTATTTATAATGATAGAGGACTGCAATTTATATCGGTGGCGATCATGCAATATATATATATAAAGACTTCAATCTCCGTTGTGCCTCCCAATCAAACTCTGTATGTACACATTGCCGGAAGCGGACACTATTGAGAGTGAAATTTGATTTTTTTTTTCTTTTGTTCACGCGCTCTCGTAGGCGGACACCCCATGCAAAGTGATTGACTCTCAGCAGTGAAATCTGTCTTTAATTTGCAAATCAACAACGAAAAAAACCTTTGACAGTACAATAGAACAGTGGGGATCGGTTTTGTCAAGTCTCCATTTGTCCGTAGGAAAACAACCTATTCATTCGTTTAACTTTAACACTTCCCCGTAAGCACTTCTACCCTATTTTTCTCAAGTGTCCACACGCATGATTCACATAGGAGGACAATTCTACCAACGGACACTTTTTTCAATTGGCGAGGGTGTCCGCTTACAAGATAGCTGATTGTATACATTCCCTGAGAAAAAAGAAAAAATTAAATAAGAAAAGCGTTTAAACCCTTTTTTCGGTTAGTACAAGATAGTGTGCAAAGAAAATACAAAACAAAACATTTTCATGAGTTAACCTTAGTTGAACCTTATTGATCAAATGAAGCATCGGATGAACTGACAAAAATAAACGTTGCTGCTTAACGTGTTTTCCCTCAGTTTCTACTTCTTTGCAATTTATTCATACAGTTCATCTAAAGAAGCCTCTGTGGTCTTTTCTGATTTTAGTTTTGATTTTTTAAAACAGAGGGAAAGAGAGTTTTACAGATTACAAGTTTGTTATGGAAGTGTATCAGCACACGTCATTTACTTCAAACAATCTTCTTTTTCAGCTTGAGGATCGAGTTTCAGTAAGAGGCATTTCAATCCTTACGGACAAATTGGATCACGGAACACTAACGGTACCATATATAGGACAGACACAGA